CTTTTTTTGGTCTTCTGCTCCTATCCAAGGCGCAATGTTTCATGTAGAAATAGATCCCTTTTGCTCAGGAGTGCAGCAGTTCAAAATGGAGAGCTAGCTCGAAAGGGTAGAGGGGAGAAATAGCAAAGTAGTGCTACACACTATGACATCGGCTTGGTGTTGCACATGAAGGGAGTCATAGTTTAATTTGTGGCAGAGTATAAGTTTTCATGAGTCACTTTTTCAGATACAGGTAGAATGTAAGTCCATCTGTCCTATATATTGGAAGGTGCAGTGATTTCAGATGCCAAATTACATTAGCAGGCAAACAACAATAGCAGGTGAATGACAATAGCAGGTGTGATTGGATTAGGTGTGAAATGCAGTGGGGTAGCAGGTGTGGAGAAATATTTATTTATTCATTCATTCAATTTATGCCTCGCCCTCCCCGCGAGCGGGCTCAGGGTGGCTTACAACATTGGCACCAATTGTTTATAAAACCATAAAACATTATAAAACAGTACAATACAGATACATTCCTAAAATCACAAGGTGCTATTAGTATGTAGCTCATTGCTTGCGGTGGCGTGCTAGAGATTTCTACAACTGCTGAATTCCGGCTCAGTGTCGTCCTGAGTCACTCGATGGTGTGAGCCAGATGTTACAGCTGAGGGCCAGGCTCGTTGATGGTAATAGTGGCGGCAGCTCCTAGTTGAAGGCCTGGTGGAAGAGCTCCATCTTGCAGGCCCTGCGGAACTGTAAGAGATCCTGCAAGGCCCTGATCTCTTCCGGGAGCTCGTTCAGCATTGGTAATGAGACAGGAAACCTAGGTCTCGATTAAGTCCAGGAGGATACATTGTCTTGAGCTTCATTATCAGTTGTAATTCAGCAGTCTCTGTTTTTAATCTCCCTTTGAAATTCCTTTGTAAGAGAATGACTACTCTTAGGCTTATACCCTGCCAAAAGTTTACCCATCTTGGTAAAACTGTGATATATATTCTGTGTGCTGGCTTAACACAGCTTCTTAAAGTGCCATGAGCTTATATGAATCTGTTTGTGTTTGCATATGCTATCTGTGTTTGCTGTGCAAACAAAAATCTCCTTAACATCTGTCTTTTCCACTCTTGTACTTGAATAACTGCTTGTTCAAGCTTGAGAATTACTGCAAAACTTGCCCGTTACAGGTCTTCATGAATTCTTCCATTGGCACTTGTGTTTGCAAAACGGTACTAGCAGTTATGTTCCTTTCTCTCACAGTTCTTTGAATGCAACCCATAATATGGTAAGGGGGCTGAGTCAATCAGTTGTAAAAAGCAATTCATTTCTCTCACAGTTCTTTGAATGCAACCCAGAATATGGTAAGGGGGCTTATGGTGGAGGGGAAACCTCAACTGCTACAATGAACTGGGTTTTACAGTCTAAATTGTTGATCTTACCTCCTACCTGCATTAGGAGTCAGTGTGACTAGATTTTATGGCTTACGTGTTATACTCCACTAAATTATATACCAAACATGCTAATAATATATATTCCTAATATATCAGTTCAGTTAACGCAGCAATTCCCCCCCCAAAAGGAATGCATGATAGATTTCCAATATGGTTCAGAAGAAAGCTCAGGAGTGCTAATGAGTGCTTCTGGAAGCCTGTATCTTAAATCAAACATTTTGGTTTTCATTCTTATTCAGATGACTAATAAATACATACATGAGTGGAAAGTAAGTAGATGAAATTCTGCATTTTCCCCATGACGCCTGACAATAGTCATCACTATGAATCCTACCTGATTTTTGTTTCGGAATATGAAGAAACGATGTTGTTGCAATTTGTTATTTCACAAATTGCGTTTGCTGCATTGCCCCTTAATTCTTCCTGATGAATGTACACGAGACTGGCCTTGATTACCTCCAGTCATAAATAAAGAGATGGAAGGACCTTTGGCCTGCAGGCTGTCAGGACCCTGGTCACTTTTTAATTTGCCTCCTGGAGCCAGTCCGATAGCAACCATTAAAACGAGGCACGAGGATTTATTGTTGACTGACTACATGCTCCAGGGAAGGAGCCAAAATAGTCTCAGGAAAGCACACTGTTCGCTTGTTCCAGGGTCACATGGAGTCCCACATTCTGGCCATGCCTGGCTAAGTTCTCTTAATGCTTCATTATTTTTTTTTACCCCAAAGGAATATGCAATAGGTTATGATGTAGGCGCACATTTGGGTAAAACACTCAGCTGCCCTAATGTTGTTTCAGGGACTCAAGATGCTTTCTGTCCTTTTCTTATGTGTCATGTATTTTTGAGGAAGTGGAGTCAGTAGAGGAGGGGTCTCCAATGTGGAGCCCATGGGGCACCATAGCGCCCGTCAAGTATTTTTAGAAAAGTAGGTGGGGCTTTTGCCCAGCAGGGCTTCTGATTGGTCACTGGAGATTTGATGGGCTTTGCAGATTTTTAAAAACATTGTTTTGGCAACAGCTGCCCTCCGCAGCACAAGGATCTTCATAGCATGACTTGAATGTAGGCGGTATGTGAGCCAGAAAGTGTTTTAAAATAATACAGTCATTTAAAAGGGCTTCCTGTCCAGCAGAGCTTCTGCTTGAAATATTGAAGACTTATTAGAGTTACACATTTTGTGGTTGTGACCACCCCCCTGTATGCCCAGGATTCCAGAGGCGCCCCCAGGCTCGAGCGGGTTGGAGGGACCCTTGCAGTAGGGAGTGAGCGTGTGCTGATTTGATAAGACCGAACTTGTGCAGCTTTTATTGAGAGAGAAATCTGTTCTTTTTTTTAAGTACCCAAAGGTACACTTTTATTATTTTTTTCTTTTTATTATATACTACAAACAAACAACGCATAACTACCACTTCAATTATCTATTTGTTACATTTCTAATCTCATTATCTATTTTGCTAGCTTATCTTTTCTGCGTACTCAAGTGAGAGAGGAATCTGTTCTTTAGGAACGCAAGCAAGGCAAAATCTATCTGTTTTCAGTGCACCTATGGATGGGGAGGGGAGTCTGGGGGGGGGACCCACATGTCACTCTTCTATCCTAGTCTGTTGGTGAGAAGCTTGTCTCCCTGCCTAGCTGAAACTGTTCATTTAGTCATGATAAAGCGCAACAGGTAGAGCCGTAGCTTTAAAATAAAATACAATGCTAAATTTAAAAAAAACCCAGGAAAGTCTCATGGAAATGCTAGATAAAATCCAAAAAATCCTCAAGAAATGACTAAAGACCTTGAGTGCTCACTGAGCATATTTAAACATATAAGCCTGAGATTGCAGTACTTTATTTAGGCTAATCTCTTTTAATTAAACTGAAGTATAAAACATCTGGTACGGTACAGCTGGGATCATATAACCATCTGGGGGGGGAAGTAGTTAGAATTTTTTTCCACTATGTCAATATTGTGCGTCTCATCTTTATTTTACTGATCTTATAAGGAAATTATTTAAAAGCCCCCTATGATACAGTCATCTGAAGAGCTGTGGCTCAGCAATTCCCCTCATTTAATTAGTTATAGTTGATAATTATGTAATACGAAACCACAGCAAGATGCTCCAGTTAGCCGACAGAAATAAGCTTTTTGTTATGCCTGTATGGAGGTTAGTGTTTCCCCCAATGTCAACTCTTATTGTGTTTGCTAATGCACACTTATCGAATATAACATGAGTCCTTTCCTTCTTGGATGCTGCTGCAGGAGCCAGCCTTTTTTTTCTCTTCATTCGCCCATCAGTGCATTGGTTTTCCCCTTGCCATCTGTGGGTGTTTTGTTAGATATTTTAGGTCAGACAAATGACAACTCTCTTCATTTAATACCAGGGTACTCGCAAAGCACTTCTGTTAGTATATGTGTGCTTTTCAGTGCAGCCACTTCTGCCTAGTTGCTTAATTAAACTTGACTGGTTCAGTATGTTAAGCTAATGAAGACTTTTCACTGACTTCCATTGAAGTAAGCAAAAGATTTTCCAAAGCCATAAAGCATTGTGTAGTAAAATAATTACACTCTCCAAGCTAAACTCTGATTCTGAACTGGCAAGCATTCCTTGTGTTACTCCATACAGTGCTGTGTTCTTAGAGCACGATGGGCACGGTCAGACGGCGTGTTGAGAGCGGGTTAAACTGCTCCGGTTCTGACCGGATTATATTTGATCTGGATAATCGCGATCACACTTACTTCCCTTATCCCGCCTCACCGTGCAGTCACAGCACTTCCCGGCGTGTACGCTACCGACGCGCAGGAGCGTGCGTCAGTGGGTTTTTAAAAAAAATTTCTCCGTTTCACCAGGGCAAACCAATCCAACCCCTCCAACAAAAGACTTCCCTTTAAACGTTTGACCCGAAAATGGCCTCCATGAGATCCCGAACTCATCTAAATGCTATAACAAGTGACCGTTTAAATGTTGGTTTTCTAAACACGGTAGTGGGGCTCCGCCTATGCGCACACCGCCAATGGATTAAAAAAAATGGCGGGAGAAAAACGGAAGCCTCGGGCAGCTTTTGAGTGGAGAGGGGGTTTAAACCAGAAGTGACTTGACACCGGAGGAGCGATCACACGGGGAAAATGCAGCTTTAAACGGGAGAGCTGAGAAAACACCACTTTGGGACCTGGTAACAAAATACTCCGGGTTAAAGCGGTTTTGAGCCGGAAACCAACGGCTGGGGATGGGAGGCAGATGTTGACTGTGTGATTGTGCATATAAAATCCGCTGCTGAAGTGATGACACCAGATCAAACGGTGCGTCTAAATGCACCTGATAAGTAGCTGTGTTAGTCCGTCTGTAGCAGCACAAAAGAGCAAGAGTCCAGTAGCACCTTAAACCCCAAAATTTGTGGCAGGGGAGGAGTTTTCATGAGTCAGTGTTCACTTCGTCAGGTACAGCTGGAATGTGAGTCCGTCACTCACATTCTCGCTGTATCTGAAGAAGTGAGCAGTGACTCACGAAAACTCATACCCTGCCACAAATTTTGCTAGTCTTTAAGGTGCCGTTGGACTCTTGCTCTTTTCTACTGTGTTTTTACTACAGAATATCTTGCCAGAGTTTGTTAAAGAATCCTTGCGCACTCTTAGCCACAGGATGTTGCTTTTGACTCTGAAGTGGTAAAAGTCATTGTGTATTGCTCCCAATACTGAATGGCCATTTCTGAGGCCGCAGGTTAGTGAAAGTTATGACTGCACACTAAGACATTGTAATCTCACTGGAGACAGAACCCCTCTCTTGACTAAGTTAGTGAGTATATGGGGATGTAGCTAAATAATTATGACATCAGAATGTTTCTGATGGGCCACTTGACCACAGACAATGTGTCTTTATTGTTGTGTCTGAATTGCAGCTAACAAAAGTGCATAGGCTGTAACTCTTGTCAGTATGTAGTATAGTTTAATTTAGCTCTGGTTTAGCGTGATGTCTGAATGCCGGCTGCTGGACAAACCATGCCTTGTTGGTGGATGCTAAACTGGGATTCTAAACCATAGTTCGTACCTATCTTACCAACTATAATATAGGAATGTAGACATTTCTGTTTGTTCTATGGTCTCCTTTGCTTCCTGCACAGTAAAAGGGAAGCACAGACCAACAGAAAACTTGCTACTGTACCCATGTTCAGCCACTGATGGTGCTTTCTCCGTATCCCCCTCCCCTCTGCCTTCTTTCCAAGACCCCCTCCTTTCTGCTGATGTACCATCAAACAGAAACGTGCTTCAGAAACTTCTCAGGGAAAACTTGAGAAATAAGTGCAGGAGGAGGGACTGAAAGGATCTTGTCAAGAGTTAAAAATGTTTGTGGTTTCAGTGAATCAGCTAGACAGAAAGGGGGAGGTAGAAGACTGATGCTTAATCAAGAGCAAGGAGGGAGGAGGCTCAGCTTGCCCCAAGTTTCTCCCCTTCCTACCTTTTTTATTGCTAAGGAGACTGCATGAAAAAGGGGAGCGGTGGCACAGGGGATTTATCCTCTGGTTACAAGTAACATCTGAGCTGAACAGGACTGCTGTCAGTTCTAGCCCCGCGCTGATGTGAGCTACCAGCCTGTCCCCAGCTCGCCATCCACCCAGTGGTTCGAAAGCTTCGGCGAGTAGATAAAATGGGTACCACTCCTTAAAGAGGGTGGGCACACTAACCCCCCCCCCATGGGGGAGGTGTTAGCCGGTGAACGGAAGGTTTGGCTCACAAGATCGAAAAGCCTAGAAGATCTCTTCAGCATCAAGAAGCCTGTAATGGGCCATTCTGGCCAGGCGGTGGCAGTATGGAGCTGCGACCCGAAGAGTCCTGGAGAGGAAGAGCTGACGTCATCCAGCCAAGCCAAGCCGAGTGGGAAAAATGCCATCTGGATCACGTCTGAGTTGCAACTGAACAAATCCCCGTCGGCTGCAAAACGTGTGGTATGTAAAGATTATATGTGTTGTTCTCCCTTACCCCTATAAAGCATTGTTAGTCCCTTGTGAAATAAGTAACTGTAAATCTCTCAGAGCCAGCAGCTCTGCAAGGATTGAGCGATCAATAAATTGAAAGATGATGATGATGATGATGATGATGATGATGATGATGATGATGATGATGATGATGATGATGATGATGATGATGATGATGTAGTGAGGCTTTGCCTGCAGTCTGACCGCATCCAGATATTCTTCTTGGAGGCAAGCAGCAAACTAACTGGGATTTATAAATAAGCTGGTCTGTGTGTGTACATCTGGTAGACTAGGAGTCCCCAACCTTTGTCATTCTGTGGGCCCATTTGGAATTCTGGAACAGGGTGGTGGGTGCTGGCACAAAATGGCTGCTGCAGAATGGCTGGTGCAGGAGGCAGAACCAGCCCCAAAACGGCTGCTGTAGCCTGCCTTCAGGCACACAGAGAAGATCCTTGTGCTGTGGTGGCAGCCACCGCCACCAAAGCAATATTTTTTAAAAAATCGACACAGCCGATCAAATCTCCAGTCGTCCATCAGAAACTTTGCTAGGCAGAAGCCCCACCGGACCCCGCTCACTTTCTAGAAACACTTGGTAGGCACGAGGAAAGAAGAATAAGAGATTGGATTTATACTCCCCTTCACTATGCAAGGGAGTCTCAGAGCGGCTTACAAACTCCTTTCCCTTCCCCTCCCCACAACAGACACCCTGTGAGGTGGGTGGGGCTGAGAGAGCTCTTTCGAGAACTGCCCTTGAGAGAACAGCTCTGACAGAATTATGGCTTGCCCAAGGCCATCCAGCAGGTGCAAGTGGAGGAGTAGGGAATCAAACCTGGTTCTTCCAGTTTAGGGTCCGCGCACTTAACCAAACTGGCATTGTGGTTCCCTTGTGCACCATATTGGGGACCCCTGCCGTAGACTAACCAGAGTTTGTGCAACAAACTGTGGTTTAAGCAAACCACTGTTGGTTACAGAGCTTACTGTTTATTGGCACGTTGCATCTGCTTACATCAACACTGGGCCTACCAGATGCTAAATTCCCTCCAGCCCACATCTACATGATGACCTCGGAATTAGATTTGCGCACTTAAGAGTTACATAGGGAGATTATGGATTTGTCTGAACACAGCATTTCACTGACCCTGCAACGTAAAGCTGGGGGGGGGGGAAGCCCGTGAGCCTGAGACTCGTTCTCGATCTGTGTGCTCCTGGGAGGCTTGGTAAGAGCAGCAGCAGCAGCACTGAAACACACCCAGTATTTCTGCCTGCTAGCAAACGCTTTGATCAGCCAGCAGGCTGGATCAGGAGCAGAACCAGAAGCCCTGTGATAAAGAGCAGCCGGCAAGAACATTTTATGACCCAGAGTTCCTTAATGTCACAGAAGTGAGCAGCGTGCGTTGATACCAACGTCAATTGAGTCGTAAGGCTGTTCCTTGGGAGTTCATGAAACCAAAAAGTATTGTAATATGGAATAGCTCGGTAGTGCTTCGGTAACAGTCTATAATTGGAACAATTTATTTTGAAGCAGTAATTAGCCGAACTGGTGTAGCGTAGGAGCTGACAGTGTGAGCTCTGTGCTGAGAACTCCCCAGCAGAAATCTCTTCGCAGCAGGGTAGCCTTAGGTAAGCTGTGACTTTCTCTTTGACTTCCACTCTGAAGTACTGAGATAATAACAACTAGCCTACCTCACGAGGGTGGTGTAAGGGATATTAAAATGTTACGATCACTTAAAGCACTGTTTAGCTGCCGTATGGACCATTGAAAACATTTAATAAACACCTGTACTTTCACAAGCATGTTAGAAGTAAAACGTCATGATCATGCATTAAAATTCAGTTAGAAAACCGATTTAGAACTGTGAAGTTAAAATCAACCTAAAGTACATTTATTTATTTATTTATTAGTATTTTTACCCCGCCCTCCCAGCGAGCGGGCTCAGGACGGCTTACAAGAGGGCAGCAATGCCCACATATAAAACTGAGTGTTTTGGTTCACTCGCACAGTGGAGTCCGACTCTTCGCGACCCCATGGACCAGATCACGCCAGGCCTTCCTGTCTTCCGCCGTCCTCTGAAGTTGGCTCAATTTCATGTTCGTTGCATCTATGACACTGTCTAACCATCTCGTCCTTTGCCGTCCCCTTCATGTTTTAATGTTTTAACAACATTAAAACAGATTAAAACAGAATAAAATCAACGAATCACAGAAGTAAGGTGCTCAATAAGAACAAGATGGTTTTCCAACGGTAAATGCTGGATCTTTCATTGGAGGTCGATAGTGTCCTGTAGCTGGGTACACGGCCAGTCCAGTGGTACCCACCCAGCGCAGTATCATGGCAGATCTTCAAGGGCCGTTCTCTTACCCAGTTGTTACCCATGCCGTTGGTGGTGGTAGTGGCGGCTCCTAATTAAAAGCCCGGCAGAAGAGCTCTGTCATGCAGGCCCTGCGGAATTGTATGAGGTACCGCAGGGCCCTGATCTCCTCCGGGAGCTCATTCCACCAGGTAGGAGCCGCCACTGAAAAGGATTATTGGGTTTTTGGACCCCTAATAGAAATATCTTTCCCTCTCAGGAACACAGGCATTGTAAGTGTGATTTTTAACATCATAATCACTTGTGAAAATAATTAGTGTTTTGGAATGCAATGTACTTGGAAATCAGGAGTCATATGGGCCATTTCACTGTTCTTTTTCAAACCATAAAATACCTAAAGGTTTGGTTCTAGTTCTGGGATATTTTGTCCACCATATTAACAGGTACAGAGCAGTCTCAAGTATACTATTGGGTTTTGCTGATTTACCTTTGTAGATGTCCAGGCAATGTGTTGAAGAATGTGTTAGTATATGCATAACTATGCTGGAGAAAATAATTTTTTCTCTCCAAATGAGTTCTGTAAAAGCATTTGCGTGTGTTAATCTATACTGTAATGGTTTTTGTTAACAAGAGTGACAGAAGACGGAGCCCTTCTGTTGCAGGGGGGAAAAAAGCCTCTGCCAGAAGTCCTGAATTCTGTTGGTCTAAGATTAAATGGGGGGGAAACCAAATGCTTCAGTGCAATTGTGCATAATCAAAGGGATCGATAGGTTGTAAACCCAATGAAGAGTTCACTGAAGAAGTAACGGCTAGACTGGCAGTAGGACTACCTCCACCTGTGTTATTCAACCCTTTTTGAAGCCCTTGTTCTCTGTAGCTTTCTGTAAGTTTTTTGTCCCATGTTTATTACTCTGTATCTGACATAACAGACAGGTATAGAGCTTCCTCTAGTTAGGGCTACCAAGTACTTACTGCGAATCGGCGGGGGACATATAGTTCTTGGTGGGAACATTCCCGTGGGGAAAACACAGGCACTGCACTATCCTGTCACCCAGACATGATGTGGGCATGTAGCCGGGCGACGCTCTGGCAATGGGGCTGAAAACTCGACGTGCCCAGCATGCTTACATCACGTCTGGGTGGCAGGATAGTGCAATGCGGCCGTGTTACACACAAGAATGTTCCAGCGGGGAAGCATGTGTCCCTCGCCAATTCGTAGGTAGGTACTTGGTAACCCTACCTCTAGTACAGGAGGTGGAATTCCTTTCCTTAAGATGCTTGCTGTACTTCCATGTCTGTGCAATTTGGGAGCATTCAAAGGGTGTGGAGCAGGGCTGTTGAACCCATTTATTATGAGGGCCAGATCTGACATAATGAGACCTTGTTGGGCCGGGCCATGTGTGTCATGTAACATATAAACTTTATAAAGAAGACAAACACAAAGGGTTTTTTTTTAACTTAAAATAAAATCATGCTTGAAACATCAGCACTCTTGCAATATTTTGTTTATTTAACAGTGTCTGATAACTGACACCTCTTTCTGAATTATTGCATCAAAATGCCTATGCTGTTGCAATCTTGAGTATGCTGTTCAGGTGTGTATCTGTAAGCTGCAAACCTACGATGACGCAGCAGCAGCAGAACTGGAAGAAGCAGCAGAAGACAGCCAGTTCCACTGCGGACCTGATAGAAGCTCTCGGGGGGCCTTATCTGGCCCTTAGGCGGCATGTTTGACACCCCTGATGTAGAGGGTGTAAAGGAGAGTGAAACTGACTTGACCCCTCCTCCCAGAAGTGGAGGTATGCAGCTAAGACATGTTGTTGTATGCAGAACATGTGCAGGGAATTACTACAATTACATGAGAAGACACAATTCACTGGAAAGGCAATAATTCTAGGAAAAGCTGAAGGCAGGAAAAGAGGGAAGGCCCAACAGGAGAGGGAGTGACTCGATCAAGGAAGGTGCAGCCTTCCGTTTGCAAGAGCTGTTAACAATAGGACGTTTTGGAGGTCAGTAATACTGTACCAGGGGTCATTTCCTGCAGGAGCGCACAGGAGCGGAGCTCCGGCAGTAAAGAGCCCAGGGGGCGGGCACACGCTACAAGCCCCACCCCCTGCTCCCAGCAGCCCTCAGTCATAGCAAGAAGCAGCCAGGTAAGTTGCAGAGCCCCCCAGCCCAAAACAATCCAATGGCACCTTTAAGACCAAGTTTTATTCAGGTACAAGCTCTCCCTCCTCTGCGAGGACAGATCTGCACGTCCCCCCCCCCATAGGTAGCAATCCAAAACAGTCCAGTGGAGCCTGAGCGGTGGGTGTTGCCTTCTGACACACTTCTGGTGATGTCTGGGTGTGTGGCATATGCTAATGAGTTATGCTAATGAGCTCCTGCACCTCTTTTTCTACGAAATGACCCCTGGGTATTACAATTGAATGTAATAAATAAATAAATAGTACTGTAATAGGGTCGTCAATACTGTGGTATTACAATAGTACTGTAATAGGGTCGTCATGAGTTAGAATGGACTTGGCTGCACTTAACACACATAGTAGAGTGCAAGCTTGAACAAATCTGAAGCAATAGGATTTTTTCCCCTTGAGCAAAACAGGTTTATTATGCGTACCTTCCCTTTTTTATACAAAACAGAAATCCAAGGAGCCCAGCAAGGAAATGGGTGACAGCAGACCAATGGAAGGGTCCTTGCTCCTCCTGTGTCTTCTGCAGCATGGTTAAATGCAGACAGAAGACTATGGCAGGGCCTGGCAGCTAGGCGGGGAGTCCCGTCTCAAACAACGCTCTCTTCCTGCTAAGCTGCAGATAAGCATATGGAGCAGAGGTCCATCAGTGGCTATTACCCACAAGGTATAAATAGGGACTCTGGGGCAAGTGATGCTCTGTCATCTTGGTGCTTGGGGGGGGGGGTCAACAGTGGGAGGGCTTCTAATGTACTGGCCCCACTGGTGGACCTCCTGATGGCACTGGTATTTCTGGCCACTGTGTGTTACAGAGT